CTTCAGTCAACCGTGTTGTAAAGACGCAATCTCGTTGGATCTTGAGATTTCGTCAAAACATGATCGGCCTGCGACCCTAAGGTTGACTAAAGTGAAACGATCGGTACGTAACGCGAAACAGCCCCTGCCCCCAAAGCCCTCTAAGTTTTCAAGGCAAAAATTGACTTCCGAAACTGCCCCTGGCAACTTGTTCTTCGTGTCCGGCCTCTATGAGCGAGGTACCCCTGTACACGAGTTGATTCAATACCCCATTTCTGAGGGGCTGGAACAACCTGGTGTGTCGCAATGCTGAGATTTGATATCCCTCAAGTGGCGAGTAGGCGCACACGTCCTACAGTAGGGCCCTAGGACCTGCCTAGGACCTCTGTGCGGTTAAATTTGACCGCATCGCCACTTAAGGGATAGCAGCTCCACCCCTGATGCTGCGTGAGAAGCCTACACCCTCACACCTAAACCCTAAACCTTAAACCCTGAACCCTGAACTCTAAACCCTAAACCCTAAACCCTGAACCCTGAGCGAAGACGTGGGTTTGACTCAGCCTTCTTCTTCTTCTTTATTACTCTCAATACAGGTCCTAAATGAGGCCCTTGAGCCTTGAGTTGAGTGATACAAAAGTCTTTGAGCCTTAAGGACGATCCCGCCTCAGAGTCCCTACACCCTAAGCGAAGACGTGATTTCGACTCAGCCTTTAGGTCCTTTAGGTTCTTCGAGCTCCCAACATAGGAGGACACCGGAACTTGTTCTGTAGAAAGGCCATGCTTCCTTTCGGATCACATCAAGCCCCCCTGTACAGAAGAGCGCGGCAGAACCGGCTAAAGGGTATCCTCATCGGGCATGTGAAGGTCCCAAAGAGGAACGTGCTCTCTCACACACACTCAGGATCAAGCCCTTTAGGTCCTTTCGGTTTTAATTTCTCTACCTCAGCCTGACGCCCTGCCGCATGCAGGAGACCAACGGGCCCGCGAGCCCGAACCGAGGGGCCGCGAGCCCTAGAGGAAGAGGGGTCGGGACTCCTAACAGAGGGGTCGTGACCCCTAACAAAGGGTTCGTGGCCCCTGTTAGAGGGGTCGTGACCCCTGTTAAAAGGGTCGTATCCCCTGGTAAAGGGGTCGTGTCCCCTGTTAAAGGGTTCGTGGCTCCTAATACAGGGGTCGTGACCCCTGTTAAAGGGGTCGTGACCCCTGCTAAAGGGGTCGTGACCCCTAGCACAGGGGCTGTGACCCCTAACAGAGGGGTCGTGGCCCCTAGCACAGGGGCAGGGGTCGTAACCCCTAACACGGGGGTAGTGACCCCTGACACAGGGGTCGTAGCCCCTATCATAGGGGTCGTGACCCCTATCACAGGGGTCGTGGCCCCTAACACAGGGGTCGTAACCCCCAGCACAGGGGTCGTAACCCCTAACAAAGAGGTCGTGACCCCTAACAAAGAGGCCGTGGCCATTGACAAAGAGGCCGCGACCCCTAACATAGGGGTCGTGACCCCTAACACAGGGGTCACGGTCCCTAACAAAGAGGTCGTGACCCCTATAACAGCCCCTATCACGGGGGTCGTGACCCCCAACAGAGGGATCGAGACCCCTTTCAAAAGGCCGCGACCCCTTGAGGATCTTTGACCTTCACGGATGTAGAGCTCTCTTCAACGATCCACCCCTTACAGGGGTACCTCGCTCATAAGAACCCCCCCCCCCCTAGGACCACCATAGGGCCCTAGGCATAGGCCTACATGTACTGTAGGGTCCTAGGGGGGGGCAGTTTCTTATGAGCGAGGTACCCCTGTAGGGGTGGTTACGGGCGCTAGAGCCCTGCGTCTCGGCCTACCTCTCCCCCTAGCGTGAAGCCGACGTGTACCAACTTAATAAACTTTGTGAGCCTCGGTGGGACAGATGATGAGCCTCGATGGTTGACTAATGAAGGTATCTTAGATCTGCTCGTGGTTAGGGTCTGGGCCGGCGCGGCCTCTCTCCTCCTAAGCGGGGTCTCAAACTTCGCTCTTCCCTTGTTTCATAGGCTAACGGCCTGAAAATGGGGTAGTTAGGCATACGGCATTGCCTAGGACCTCCTACCGTAGGCCGAGGGATCCTAGGACCAAAAAGTCTCGGCCTACGGTAGGAGGTCCTAGGCAATGCCGTAGGCCTAACTACCCCATTTTCAGGCCGTTGCCCTGTAATGTTGGAAGCAGTCTCTTCCCTTCTGGGGATACGTCCTGGATGTGGGTATCTAGGCTCTATGGGTATCTAAGTACACAAGGTTATGAGGACTTCACTGAGGCCTCCGAAGTAGATTCACTTAGGCCTCCGAAGTAGATTCACTTAGGCCTCCGAAGTAGATTCACTTAGGCCTCCGAAGTAGATTCACTTAGGCCTTCTAAGTAGGGGCCTGTAGCGTTCAGACTGGAGGCAACTTGTGGGCAGATTGATGGTTTCCTAAGTCAACTCCCATACAAATGCACTCAGAATCCGAGTGCACCTGTGGGAGATTGACTTGGGATTTGCCTCTGGGTTGCCTCCAGGGTGGTTCCCTTCTGGGAGTTCCGTGTACAGCCACTCCGGCTATCCCTCAAGTGGCCAGGGGGTCAAAATTGACCCCCAGGAGGTCCTAGGGCCCTACGATAGGTCGTATGAGCCTACTCGCCACTTAAGGGGCACGTCCCGTGTAAAGCCACTCCGACTACAGGGGTTCCTCGCTCATAAGCCGCCCCCCCCTCGCTAGGACCCTACGGTAGGGCTACGCCTAGGGCCCTATGGTGGTCTTAGGAGGGGTGCTTTGGTGCTGTGGTGCTTTGGTGCTTTGGTGCTTTGGTGCGCGGTTTCTTATGAGCGAGGTAGGTCCTACCCCTTTAGGTCCTTGAGGTTTTAATTTCGCCCAACATATGCCAACGACACGCCGTTCTGTAGAAGGGATCTGCATAGAAAGCATGCTTGCTTTCGGATCGCGTTTCGCGAAAGGATGTAGTCCAGGACGAGCTCGCCTCGGGCCGTTAGATCGACTGTACCCGGGGTGAGCCTGCATGCTCTCGCCGACTCCTAGACGACCTTTCTCAAAAAATGCCGCGAATTGTGGAAGGCAGAATTGCTGGAAATAGAACACCACAACGGAATTATTTATCTTCGTATACTGTTGTATACTCGGTGATATATGACTCTGGGTAGGTGACTCTCTAGAGCATCTTTCTGCTCTCGCGTGTCGCCTCCCAGAGCCCACCTCTCACCACCCTCAGATATCACCCCTTCGTCTCAGAGTGGCTTTCTGCTCTCACGTGAGCGCGCGCGCGGTCTCGCGCAGGAAGCGCGGGACGCACGCGCACATCTCGCACGTCGGGGCGCTCAGGCGTCCGTGCGTGCGGGATTTTCCACTTCCTCCTATCTAGTGGTAGATGAGCTTTCGCGAGCACGCGCTTCCCGTCCGGCGAGAACGCGTGGTGCTTGGGCTCGTGCCCCGGTGGATGTGATGAATGAAAATCCGTTGAACCAACCCTGAGTCTATCATCCTGTCCTATTTCCAGCAATTTCCGGTTGAAATGTGACCATCATTTTACAACTGGGATTTTTTTACAAGTGAAGGGAAAAAAGGTGGGTGTAGTAATTTTCACACAAAATAGGGACGGTTGGTCACGTTACTGGGGGAATTCCCCCAGTAACATGACCGAGCCTGCCCGTGACTGGTACTAAATTTAACAATCCTACATTTAAAATACCTCATCTTCCAGCCTTGAGTGGCCACGTCGTGCTTGCGACGTGTGTTGTTGCTGGAAATTAGTGTTATGAACCGGTACAAAGGACCGGTTCCGTTTTTGAAAACCGGTAAATCACGGTCGAAGACCGAATAACCGCGCCTTCGGCGCGGAAAAAAATCGAGAAAACCGGTCCTGGATTTTGAAAAACTAACTACGGTAGTTAATCATACAAATGTCGCTGACCATAAAAATGTCACCCCCCCCCTGGGAAGTCATAGTGACAACTCACTACGAAATGTCGCCCCTCGTAGTGGACCCCCGGGAAGTCGTAGTGAGCACTCGTAGTGAAATGTCACCCCCCCTAGAAGCGATCGTAGTGAAAAATCGAATTTTTTTTGATATATGAACGTCGCAACACTCATAGCTTCTCAATCGGTGAGTCAGAGTGTCGTAGTGGTCAGCGGAGTAGCCGCCAAGAGAAAAAGATCATGGGTTCAATTCCCGTCGCAGACACTAGCGCTAGTGCCAGTCAATGAAATGATTTTCATCGCACGCTTTTGACTTTTTGTCTGTCACTTTTTGCCCGTCTGTGGGTTTCTACTCATAACCTGACATGTCGCCCTCGAAATTTCGCCCGTAGTAACATGGACTGTAAATGCTAATTACTGCAACGTGTCCACAAATCAGGCTTCCGTGATAGTCGAGATGGTTACAGCGCAGGTTTGCAAGCGGAACGTAGCCAGTTCGAGACTGGAGCAGGAGTCGCATTTCTGATTACTGGTTACTGAATTTATTAAAGAGGTTTCGCCGTTATTGCCTAACCCGTGCCTTAACCAGACTGTGATCGGCCCATGTTATACCCCGCTCAGTCTGTCTCCGAGGGACGCTCCCCGAGGATTGGCGCAGATGAAGTAAACGACGAAGAAGAGGGAGAGGTCTGATAGGTCCACGATGATTAACAGAACTACTGCTCCGGACACATCGATATAGACCTATCATTCCGGGCGGTTCTTGAAAAGGGAGGAGTCGGATTGGTTAACCGATCCTCGGATCGGTTATTCAATCCAACTCAAGTCGGCTCCCTGAAGGCTCCTTTAGAGGCTCCTTTAGGGAGCCGACTCCTCCATCCGGCGACCTGTGGTTGAATTTACCCCGTGGTTATTCCGCGATGGTTATACGAAGCTTCGTACCACATTTCGCCTTCCAATGGCTCATGCCTCCACCTCCCTGGTTTGACATTCTGGAGAGGCGCTTAATGGGGCATGCCAAAAAGATCCTGTGGACCTTTCCCTGCACGAGACCTGTTTTTTGACACTTTTTGGCCGTTTTTAGTCTTTTTGACTCGTAACCTGAAATGTCGCCCTCGAAATGTCGCTCCTGGTAAAATGTCACCCCACCCCGGGGAAATCGTAGTGGCCACTTTTCACTAAATGTCACCCCCCCCCTGGGGAAGTCAAATGTCACGGTGACATTTCTATGATTACCGGTAACTACAACGATATTTGCGAGAAAACCGACCAAAAGGGCTCCAATTCCGCCGGTGGGAAGAAATCAAAAATGGGCTCGATTTTCGGCGCTGGGGCGGGGGGAAGGGCTTGAAGGGCCCCGCCGATCCGGGCGGTCAAGGGCTGTGCGGATCCAGCGCGTCGAGGGGCTCCTCTTCATGAGGTCAGATCCCGCGTTCGCGCGCCCCTGCTCGCATTGCTGGTCTGAGTTGGCTCCTCCATACCTATTCCATGGTCAAGAATCCGGGGTCTGGGCGGCCAATTCCGGCAGTGGGGGGGCGGGCAGCGGCATGACCCTCCACCTGCAGGGCAGACTAGTGTTCCACCTGCAGGGCAGACAAGCCCGCTGGCACCTTGCGAGCGTCGAGGCGCCACTGATGCGCGGATAAAGGCCAGGATTCTGATTTCCAGGCGCGCTGGACAGATGAGGAGGATCCTGGCCGGCTGTCGGCTCACACGCCGGGTGGGCGACGAGGCACCGGCCCGGGGACATTGTGAGGACCGGGTCCTGGACGGGCCCGCCTCGGGTAAAAGGGCTCCAAGGGAGAGCGCCTATAAGTAGTTGTAAGGAATCCTGTCAGTGAATCATCAGAGAACGGAGAGCTCGCGCGAGCTCTCCGTTCTCTGATGATTCACTGACAGGATTCCTTACAACTACTTATAGGCGCTCTCCCTTGGAGCCCTTTTACCCGAGGCGGGCCCGTCCAGGACCCGGTCCTCACAGACATCGTTGAGCTATAGCTGAGGCTCTACAGCTGCGTGACGCTCGAATTCGCAGCGACGAGGCGACTAAAGCAGAGAGAATGAGGAGAAATGTGCATAGATCAGGTGGGAGGCGGTGAATTTCGGCTGAGTGATGAATAAATGCGGGGCTGCTCGCTCTTCCACGCCTCGAGTCTCGTGCCTGCTCTAGTTCTTCCCCTTTGCATGCGGTGCCGCGCGCGGATAGGACGGGAGAGAGCGGGGAGCGCGCTGTTGAGCTCTGAAATATATGGTTTGGGTGGAGAACTGGCAGTGTCTGGTACCGTACGATGCAGGGAGAATCGCTCGGGAACATGTTAGCTCAAAAGATGCGCCGCGAAAAGTTGGTCAATGCACCGTACATCAGAACCCTGCTCCGCCAAACTTCATCCAATTGATCATCGCGCCGAAGGTTTTCGGTAATAAGCATTTTTCGCTGCCATATTTACGAGCTCGTACTCCCACCGGCGGTGGGTGGTCGGTTTTCTCGCAAATGTCGTTCTGTAGACGGTACCGGTACGCTCGTACGAGGTACGAGGCTCGTACGGTATCCGATACCCCGGTACGAGGAGCTCGTACCGGTAGGTTCCACCCCTTCGTAGGAATGAATGGACAATGTCGGGAAAGCGTGATGAACGTCCCCGTCGTTTTGATGGCTCTCTAATACGAGGACACGTCTATCTGTTCACGAAACAAGATGTCATTTTCTATGACATTTTGTCACTTCGGAAATAGAAGGACCCAGTTTATTGTATTTTAAATATTTAAAACTACTTTTGCTATTTTTGTCGGCTTCGTGAGTCGTTCGTTTAAGCCTTCGTCCGTTCCATTTTACTACATCCTGAAATCTCGTGACTTGTGATCCTCGATCCGGACCTTATTACTACACATTTCAAAAAGCTGACAGTCACCAGGTCTAAGGAACGAAACGTCATGACCAGGAAGAGCCATCTTACTACACGATTTGCACCAACTTTACTACTGGATGACAGGGGTTCCTTGCCTGGGTCTTTTCGGGAAATCCGCCCCCCCCCAAAATCCGCTTGACCCCAACACCGGAAATAACACCAGGACCATACTCAACACGGCCGAACGCTCCTGCACTTCCCACTCGTAGCGATGCCGCCGAAACTTCGCAGCGGCTGCAAGTACAAAGACCTGCCGCAGGAGGGGAGCATGGGCCCAACGCAGAGTCGCCAAAAATTCCCCCTAGATAACCGCGCAGCTGCGCGTTTGTCACTGCGCGACAAACTCCTGGAAATCCGCGAGGAAGTCCTTTCGCCAAAAGTCCCCCGTGTGGGCCCCGGCCGCTCGGATATCTTTGGCTCGCAGTCGAACACGCCCAGCCCCGTCGGCGCGTCTCTCGGCAGGAGAGTATCATTGCAACCACAGCTGAAGATCGTCTGGGTGTCGGCGAGGGGAAACGGGAGAGACAACGGCGGGGGTTGGTCCGGGCAAGACAAGGACGGGGATGCATCCGAGCAAGTGCAGGTTCGCCGCTGATTCCATGCCCCGGACCCCCGAACCAAAAGCACCAGTCTAAACTCTCGCAAGTGGAGCATACCACCCCCGATATCATCGCCCCGAGAAGCACCACGCTTCGTTCACCACGTGCATTCGCTTGCATGACCTCTCGCGGCGCCCCTGCTCAGACAACAGCCTCGGTGGGGGTGCTAAATGGCAGTGGTGTCAGTATTGATGAAGGAGGCGTGGTACTCCTACCTCTCCCTCACTCGGGTTTCACCGTTTCCCACCAGCAACCCGAGACGGCTCAACTCCGGGTGGCCACCTGTAGTAATTTTCACGAGACTGGACCAGCCATCGATTCAACCCCCCCATGAAATCCCTAGTCTCTAGGGATTTGCTACCGTAGGGTCCTACGGACCGAAAGATACGCCCCGAGACCCGGATTTGAGGCGCTTCGGGTTGCTGGTGGTGAACAGGAACACGGCAAGGACACGATGATGGCGGCAGATCGCAGCGCCCGGCGCTTGTCGATGCAACCTTCGAAAGTAAACCCCAAAACCCAACCCATGAACCCTGAACACCTAGCTCGTTGTTAGCCCTAGTCTCGTCGTGAACGCTTGTCGATGCAACCCCTAAACCCCAAACCCTGAACCCCAACTCGCGGTAAACCCTACCCTCGTGTAGCACCCAAATCGCGGGAAAGTAACCGTTCTGCGCCATCCCGTGAAATCCTGTACCAAATTCAATCAATTTGATCACATGCCCTCAACGCTAGGCGGCAGTGCCAATCTTCGAAGGAACACCATCGCTGCGCTCCGCTGCCAAGGCAGTCATGTTCTCGAAACGACTGGCCGCAGCCTCCGATCCTCCCCTCGGGTCCCGACCCTGATCCCCACACCTCAAACCCCAGACCCCAAACACCAAACATCACACATCCAACACCATTCACCAAACTCCAAACACCAAACACCAAACCCTAAACCCTAAACTCCAAACCCCAAACCCCCAACACCAAAAACCAAACACCAATCCCCAAACCCCCAACCCCAAACTCCAAACCCCCAACCCCAAACATCAAACATCAAACGCCAAACACCAAACGCCAAACGCCACACCCCAAACCCCAAACCAAACCCCAAATCCCAAACCCCAAACCCCAAACCCCAAACCCCAAAACCCAAACCCCAAACAGCACCCC